TTATTATATATATACGTTTCGTTGACTTTTTGACCGGGCCGGGCCGGGCCTATAACCGGTTACATAACCGGTCCCGGTCTTAACCGGTCCCGGTCCCAAAAAACGTCAAAAACCCTAACCGGATCATAACCGGCGGTCCCTCTCCGGTCCCGGTCCTGGTCCTCCGTCGGTTACGGGCCGGGCCGGGCCCATTTGGCCATCTCTAATGTGGTATACTGGTATTTTTATTTTTGAAGGAAAATCATATATTTTAATTTTAAATATATGTGTTCATGTCATATTTAATTTATGGACCATAACATATTGAAATCCAATTGTTTTTAGTATGTGTTTGTGTTAGGGGACGTATACCAAGGTAAGTGTTTATCAAGTCATATTATTTTACAAGATGAATAAGGCAAAACCAAGAATCTTACCCAGTAAGAACGAGACAAGAACATAGAATCTTACCCGGTAAGTGAGAACGATGACTCTTACCATGGTTAGCGCTTACCCGGTAAATTATTGCATATGATGCAATTTTTGTTGACTAAAATCTTACCTGGTAAGTAAGTGATAGTGTTAATTTTACTGGTAAACGCTTACTGGATAAGTGTTTGGTAGACGACCCCTAAGAATCTTACACTGTAAGAGTAAAGGCAAGAACAGAGAGTCTTATCGGGTAAGTGAGGACAAAAACTGTTAACATAGTTAGTGTTTACCAGGTAAATTGTTACATATAGTACCGTTTTGAAAAATTAAAATCTTATCTGGTAAGTAAGTGATAGTGTTAAATTTTGCCCGTAAACAATTACCCGAATAAGCATTAGGTAAATGGCCCCTCAATGGCATATATAAGTCATTTATGTTCATGTGAGTGAACAAATTAAATAAATGATAATCTCGCAATTAGTTTATTCATGTTAATTGATTATTAACTAAAGAAGTTAGCTGGAAACCGAGTCTTCTTGAAGCTTTTATCCAAGTGACATTTCTTTCCTTAATCCTTTGTGCTAGTTTAACCAATAAGCTATTACGTTTATTCTTAACAGGTTACCAGTTCAAGTCTCCTCGAAGTCCATACAAAGTTTGTCTGATTGTTGACTTCAAGATTATATGAGATTAGTCGAGATGTACATATGTTGGATTAGACATCCACAATTACATAAAAGGAACACGTTTATTCCCTTCAAGTTTTTGGCATATCAATTATCTAATCCTAGGTTAATCATGTAATTGTTATTTGAGTCGAACTTACTACTTTTAGAACATACCCATTCGTATACATTTCAACTTTTTTTCAGGAATACAGTCTTATATTATTATTTTTATATCATATAACATTTTATACAATCCACTGTTACAAAATAAATCCAACTTTTCTAGATTTTCTTAAAAAACAAAACATTACTTCTTTAATTTAAAATTTTATTTTTATCTACTCAGAGTCACAGGTGATATTTTTTAAATTATAACATTTATTTTGGTTGATAAGTTTTTTATTTCAGATAAATTAATAAAATAGTTATTTTCAGACTTTTGAAACCATTTCTTAGTCGTTTCTATCCTCAAATTTTAAAAGAAAAAGTCTAAAAAAACTCAATGGACTTTGGTGTTTGGAATGATTAAGTCATTGGACAATTTTTTGGAACAAATAAGTACTTGGACATTCCAAAACATGTTAAATAGCTTCTTGGACAATTTTTTGAAACAAATAAGTTTTTGGACAATTTAAAACATGTTAAATAACTCATTGGACAATTTTTTGAAACAAATAAGTCATTGAACAATCCAAAATATGTTAAATAACTCCTTGGACTTTTTTAAAACATGTTTGATACATTCTTATAACTTGTGCAACTAGTTAATGTGGTAAAATAATGGAAAAAGTCCGAAAAAAAAACCCAAGAACATTCATATTTTGAACGATTAAGTCCCTAAACATTTTTTGAACCAAAAAGAAATTTAATTTATAAAATTAAACAAATATAACAAAAAAGTACTTACATTTACAAAAATAATAATTACATTTAAAAAAGATTTTTGATAAAATTTATTTTAATTAAAATTAAAATATATTTAGTCAGTGTTTTTTCAAACTAAAAAAWAWAAAAAAAATTATAAAGAATTATTGATTAAATTTTATTTTTTCGGACATAATATATTTTAATTTTAATTAAAATAAATTTTATCAAAAAAAAATTTTAAATGTAATTTTTTTTTTGTAAATGTAAGTAATTTTTTTGTTATATTTGTTTAAGTTTATAGATATAAATATTTTTTGGTTCAAAAAATGTTTAGGGACTTAATCGTTCAAAATATGAATGTTCATTGGGTTTTTTTTCGAACTTTTTTCACTATTTTACCACATTAACTAGTTGTACAAGTCATAAGAATGTATCCAACAGGTTTTAGAAAAATCCAAGGAGTTATTTAACATGTTTTGAATTGTCCAAGGACTTATTTGTTCCAAAAATTGTCCAATGAGTTATTTAACATGTTTTAAATTGTCCAAGGACTTATTTGTTCCAAAAAATTGTTCAAAGAGTTATTTAACATGTTTTGGAATATCCAAGGACTTATTTGTTCCAAAAAATTGTYCAARWACTTAATCATTTCAAACACTAAAGTTCATTGGGTTTTTTTAGACTTTTCTCATTTTAAAAATATCACGATTTCTACGAGTGATATCTCCTCGATTTGAATCAATCATAATTCTCGAAATTACTTCAGTGTATATGGGGTATTCTCTGATCGGAACCAAACAATTTCACTGAATACTCGAGTTTAGGCAGAGGAGACGACGGTTGAAAGCAACAAGTCAAGGACGTGTTCAAACGACGAATTGAGTATAAATCTTTGAAGTTTTTACATGGTTTTATTCGTTTTTATGTTCCTAAAAAGGTTAATAGCAATTGATTTCATTTACAGTAGCCTTTTGATGTTCGATTTTGGGTTTGTTTATGAAAT